GGATTCTTAGCCATAATAATATTTGTTAATTTATATAGAAGGATTTACTTGATTATTATCACTTAAAAAAGGATAAACTATTAAAATATCGATATTCTCTCTATAATTTTTGATAATATAGTAAGATTTGATGTATAAAATCAACCTAAGTTTTATTAGAATATATGAAATCAAAAATATAAAAATCAATTATAACCAAAGTTTTTAACTTGCAACAGAAAATAAAATTTTAGTTCTAAATCTTTTCTATTTGCACTTTAAACAGTATAAAAAATAACATGAATTCCTTATATTCAACATTTATTTTTTAAAGATAACTTTTCCTTAAGTTAAACAAAGTAAAAATGAAAAATCATTTTTTAATAATTTAGGTGTTTTGCATTTACTTTAATCTAATAAATATTAATTAAAAAATAGAATTAATTAACAAATAAATAATCATTCAATATTTTATGATGTATTCTCTTCTATTTATTTGGCTGACTGTCTAGGAGTTATGTTTTAAATTTATGTTTTTTAAATAGGCTAGGGATCTTGCAATTTTTTTTAATTATTTTATTGACATAATTATAACACTTTATATTGAATATTTCCAACTGTAACTTATTCATTAGATATAGTTTTTTTTTAATTCGCCTTTTATTTCATCATTCATCTTAATCATAATATTATCATATAGAGGAGTTGTTGTAAGATGAGAATAACTTTCAATGTAAATAAACTCTCCTACTTAAAACTAATTAAAAAAAATGAAATATCAAATATCATTGACTTTGGGTAAACTTTTTAGATTGTTATCTTACTCAGTATTAATTGATTCATATTTTTTGATTAATTATTAACTTTAAGATCTTCTTTATTATTTAATACATGCTATGATGGCGTTTTAGTTGTTTATATGAATTTTAATAAAAGGTTCTAATTTATCTCCTATTAGTATAAGATTGCTTGTTATTTATAAAAATATGAAACAGGTTTAATTGCAACTTACTTTTCTTTAATTTTAAGGTTTTGACTCTCTTTTTTAGACTTCTCAAGTTGATTAATATTTAGATTACTTAAAAATGATACTTTTCAAAATCATACAAAGATTATTTGATTTTCTCTATATGTCCATCCTTTACTTAATAATTATTCTGTTTCATAATTTATTTTAATAGTTTATTATTAATATTGTATAGATATCCATTCATTAATTAATATATCTAACTTTTTAATTGATATCACATTTAGATATGAAAAAGTAGAACTCATAAGATATGCTTAGATAAAATAGAATTTTAATATAGAGATTAAGTTTAACTATATATATTATTACCAACTCGTATCATTGATGGTCTTTATCTTGGAGATTAGGGTGCAGCCCATGTAATTGTGATCTAAAACATGAGGATCAAGAGTTGTTGGTGACCAACAAGATAACTGCCAAACATATTCCTAATCATTGGGAATCCATCGGCATTGAATATTTGTCATATTATTGGTTAGAAAATGAAACCCAATTTGCATTTGACCATCCCCGTTGTTTTGCCTTCATTAATGATGCCATTGAAGCAGGAGAAGCTGTTTTAGTTCATTCTATTAGAGCATTCAATTGCTCAATTTTTGTGGTTGTTGTATATTTAATGCACAAGTATATGCTCCAAGTTTTACTTGAAGATTAAAATGGACATTATAAAAGACTTTACAATATATACATAATCTAAAAAAACGGTTTTGAAATTAAATCTAATGTTTTTCAATAATTACTCCAATATGAAAGATGGTTTCGTGTCTTCAAACTTAGTTAAAATTGGGATATTGCTACTAATTAAGATGAAATATTAGCTAGAAACACATATACTTACGTGTTTATTAAATTAATTTAATAATTATTGGATTATATAAAAAAATTAAAATAAATTCTTTAATATATTGTTGTATCTAAATAGTTAAAAAACATTTTCAAATGATATAAAGAGAAAAAAAAAATTAGTCCTAAATAAGTTTAATGGAAACAAAATATAGTTTCTCAAATTATTCCCCCTTATCATTAAATGTAAATATTTATTAATTATTATATATTAGTGAATTTAAAAAGTTCATTACACCAAAACCTATAATAAAATATTCAAACATGCCCATCAAATTGAAGGTTTATTCTTTTGATAATAATTATATGAAAAAAAACAATACTTTAAACTAAATTGTTGATGAATAATTATCAAGAAAATTAAATTAAATAAGTGTAAAATCAGATCGATAATCAATAAAACCATTAGCTAGACCAGCTACAGCACCTTCAAACAGATTACTCAAAGGCAAAGTATAAACTTCATCTCTTAGACTATTAGTTAAATAATATTGATTTCTATACATATATATATATATAATTAAACTTTAGTTATAAAAATATATAATTGCATGATTTAAATAATATTTTTAAAGAATTTTAAATCTTAAATTTTTAATTTTAGATAGTAACTGATTTTATAATACTCATTCTACTCATAAAGATGGGAAATCTTTATCATCTAATTGGATTCCTTATTCCTAAATAATTAATAATGTGTAATATTTATTATCTTTATTGAGGTTTCTTAACTTATCTATCATCTCCCTTTCTATATTTATCTCCTCTCTTTTAATCACTAGTATTATTATCTCTCTATCTTATCTATCGCCTCTATCTTATCTTTCTCCTTTTCCTCTTAAGGTTAAGTTTCACTTTATTATTATTATTCTTATATAGGTTCTTATTTATCATATTATCTTCTTTCTCCCCTTCTTTCATTTTCTCTTTTAGGTTCTTATACTTAATTTGTGAAACCTAAATATTTAGCTGCTTCAGTATTTAGCTCACTCTATAAGTTTATTATTATCTAGTTTTCTTTTATTCTTATAATTTTTTTTCATCTTCTCTTGTTTTCACGACAAAAAGCTTATCTTTTTCAAAGCCTCTTCATCAATTTGTTTGACTACTTATGGTTTGGTCTCAGTCTTTTTTGAGAACATCTTCTACATTCTACATTCTAAATTTATAATTAAAATTATTACAGCTCCTCTTTGTTAATAATAATCAGAAAGTATCTTTTATGGAGCTGGGGTTGAATTGGTTATGTTGTTTATTCATTTTATTCTTCTTTAGTTGCATCTTATGGCTTTTTTTCTTTTGCAACATATTTTTCTTCTTTGAGGTCATCTTTGTAATTTTCCCAATTATTTCTACCACCACCTTCTTTTCGTTATTTTTTGCCTCTTCCATTCCAGACCCTCTATCTTTTGGATGTGGTTCAGCTGGAACACCTTTTTATTTTTGGGTGAGATTATTGTGTTTAGTATTTTCTTTTTGTATATCTTCAACTGGGATAACCTATACCTTATTGTTATTATTTTTCTTAGACTTTTTCTATTATTATTATTCTGGGACTTCTTCTGTGTCGGAGAAGTTGAGAACGTTGAATAAATTATTACTCATAAAGATTTGAAATATTATTTAATGTTAAACATTAAATACCAAGAATTAAATTAATTTACTATATATAATATATTTTAATATTAAAATTTTAAAAATGTAAAAAATACTTTTTATTAATATTTAATCATAAGCCTAATGAAATCCTTTCTTTTAGAAATTACTAAAATATCAAAGCATTCAAAATCTTTGAGTTCAGTATTATCTAAATATATGATTAATAACAATACATCAATCATATTTGCTCTATTAATAAATTTTGAATAATATTTAACATAAGCTTAAGAGACAATTCAATCTAATTGACATATTCAACCTGATTATATTAAAGCAATTTTTGAAATAATATATTTCGTCTTTCCTATTAAATAAAATAAATTTATGGATTGTTGTTATTTAATATCTTAAAAAGAAAAAGAATTACAGATTACAAAATAGATCTCTATTAAAGAAGAATTTTCTCCAAAAGCTCTTAAACTTGAACAATTTTCTTTATACTTAATTAAAGGAGATATAGATAGTATAAATCCTATAGAAAAAGTGGAAAAACTTGGGAGTACATGTGATGAAAATGTATTAAATGAGAAACAACAAAGTAAATTGGAAAACGATCTAAACGTATAAATTAAGGATGAAGTTATCATTGATTAAATAAAACCTCAAATCCATTATAATTAGAACGAGATAGCAGTAGTAAAAATCTAAATAAAAAATTTATAGGAATGCTATGAATCTTCAATATAATTCATAATAAGAAACTATATGAACTTAATATTATTATGAAAAGTGTACTACGGTATAAATTTTATTACTAAAGCAAACTCGATTTTGAGTAAATAATGATATTTTTAATATTGTATTAAGTCTAAAATGTTATAATAAAATTTCTACTTCAAGAATTCTTGTTTGAAATTACTAAAAATGGAATTCTAGACAACATATTAAAAATGTCATTCTAATCAATAATAACACCAACCTCCATAATAAAAAGATGGTGTGTACAATCAAGAAATAAAAAAACATAAAACAGTTCACAATAATGATGTATCAACTATTAGAGTTAGTTAAAAGCTTTGCCTTTAAAGAACATTGTAGTAAACAGAAAAAGACAAAGTGTCAGTGATTGAGATGCAACTCTTCTTAAATTGTAAGAATTAAAAAAGAAAATTTAAGAAAAAGTTCCTAATCCTCTTGAAATTTTAGAACCAGAAAGTAATCCTATTTCAAAAGAATTACATTTTAAGCTTCATTTTAAACTGAAGAATCCAAATTAATTTCAAAAACAGTTGATACACCTGGAACTGCTTAATTTATGTAATCTAATAGAGATGATAATATACAAGTTCCAAGAAATCCTTTAGAAAGAAATACTTCTTTTCAAGATATATAAAAAATAGATAATTAAATTTCACTTTAGAAAAAACTTGATTTATTTTTTGAAAAAAGAAAACCTTCTTGTTGTGAAGACTGTTCAAAAAACATAATAAATTACAAAACCATATTTTGAATCGAATAAAGGAGAAGATATACAAAATAATAACTTTACTAATAGACTTGAATGTAGAAAAATCATGATTATATTGGATTAAGATAAAGAAAAAATATTAGATTTAGTAGCATCCATAATTCTCAAACTAGTAATGATTAATAAATTATTTTAAACAATTCAAACAGATAGAAATTTTACACTTATTCATGGAGCTATTAGATCAAAATAATAATCATTAAGAGAAGCTGCTCTAGATTTATTTAGTGAAATTGTAAAATAAATTGCCTAAAGAGAATGTATTTATTTAATTATTAAACATAGAATCATATTAAGATTATTTAGTTAAAATATATATTGATGAAATAGAATCAAAAAAAAAATCAAAAGAAGAAGAATATATTCATAGTAATATTATGATGATTAAAATTCTTCTTACATATGCTAAATAAGATGTAATATATAATCATTATTAATAATAGGTATTTTCATAAAATTAAATCTAAAAAAGATCATAAATCATCTATTATGAATAAGGGTGTAATTGAGACTTTAGTAATATTAGCAAAAACATGCTAAACATAATGTAGTCTAAGAATTTATGGAATAGAGCATATCTTTACTATTATCATAAACTATGCAAGCTAGATCTGTGAAAGATAAAAGTCTACCCTATATGACTTTGGCAATGCTTATTTTATTTTTAAATGAAAATATGTTACAAGATCTAATTAGAAAAGTTATTTTACATATTCGATAAGAATTATTACAAAAGGATTTTTGTGTTGAAATGATCCACTGTTTATAATTCATATTTTAGAATTATTCAAGGAAATTTGCAGAATTCACATCAGTTGATGTTTTAGTAGATGTATCAATATTTCATATTCATTTAAGTAAATATATACTTAAATGGTTTGCATCCTGAATCAGTTTACTTTCTAAATTAATTATGCAAATCATAACCCAGATAATCTGATTACATTTAATAAAAACTATTATAAACTATTGCAGCAATCTTACTAAGAAAAATTATTAATTTTGTCAATCCTAAATAATAAAATTTTGATAGAAGTGTCTTAAATGATTTTTAATGATACTTACAAAAAGCCATTACTACAACAGAATTTAGATCTTTTAAAGCTATTGCTAATGCAATTTAAATACTTAGCACTTTCTCATTTGATTTATAAGATAGTCTTGCAATCTTTGTAAAAAATGCTGTTCTAACTAATCTTGCTAATTCTTATCCAATTATAAGAAAGGATACTGCAAAAGCTGGATGTCTATTATACATTAAGAAAGGAAGATCAACTGTATAATAGATGATATCTAAAAATGTTATGTATGAAATATTAGATAAATTTATGAAAGTTGCTATTTCAGATACTAAATAAGATATAAGGTAAATTATGCTTGCATCTTTAAATGAGAATTTTGATGCATATTTAAATTCTCCTAAAAATTTGAGAAAATTATTTTTATGTAGAAGTATAAGAAATTGCATTAACAATACTTTGTCGATATATCAATTTTAAATCCTTCAGAAATTATTCCCTTTCTTAAAAAGACTTTATTTGAATACCTTTAAACTTTAACATTTGACAGCTATTAACCTGAAAAGTAAACCATTAATAAATTATATTTATTAACATCATTAATTAAATACGGTCGTACAATTGTCTAGCAATATACTAGTAATATAGCTAAAGTAATTTAATAACATTGAAAAAACCAAATACTAGTGCGAGTGTTACTTCATATTTATTATAAGCATTTGCTTAATTAACAGAAACTGCAAATTAAGAAATATTAGTAAATTTAAAAGAAGTTTTTGGTATTCTTATAACAGCAATGTAAGATAATAGTTCTACTCTTAAAAAGAAGCTGCTGTAAAATCTTTAAATTTAATTATTAAAAATACAGGATTTGTTGTACTTCCTTATTATCGTTTTCCAAATTTAATGGATGTTATTTTCTAATTAATTAGAACTGAAACTATACCAGAAATGAGATAGGAATGTTTAAAATTATTAGGTAATTTAGGAGCTGTAGATACATTTCTATATAAAAGAGTATAAGGAGTACCAACAAAATAAAAGTTTAAGTTTTTAAAAAATTATCAAAATGCTGTAAAGAGGATATAGTGAAGATTTAATATTAATTGGTAATTTTAGTACAACAAAGTTTTTACATTTAGGAAAATTGAAAATGTAAACTAATGGTGCATTAATATTGGATGCTCAATCTCATTATCATTAAGCTATAAAT